CGTAAAATAAACGTAACAACACGACTACTACTATTATATATATATATATATAAGATACTACAAAACGCCTATAGGTAAAAAATGAACAGTGATTTCGTCCACCCTCATCACCGTCCAAAGTTCATCGTACGGTCACGATTGTCCAGTAGTGTTTCATTTTTCTTTTCTTTTCTATTCATCAAAAATAGGCGAAATTATGAAAAATATCAAAATACTATTTTACATAAAATAAATTGATCAAAATACCCCCAAAAAATGTTTTCGTGAATTACTTTTTTTGCATTTTTATTAAGTGCACATCACTGATATGTACACATGTTCCAAATTTCAGATCATTCTAATTTATAGAAAAAAATAAAAAAATAAAACACTACCTGACAATTGTGACCGTGTAATAAACTTTTGACGGTGATGAAGATAGGCGAAATCACTGTTCTTTTTCGCTTATAGGAGTTGGAAATTTTTTTTTGCGTATATATATATATTGTATTGGAATGTATAACATGCTTCCTCTATCATAAAGCTTACTTGGGAGTATTTTTTCGATCTATAACTTTTGGAAACTGTCTAATCAATTTGGTAAACTCCGAGGCTTAGGCCTTACAAATTCATAATCATTTTTTTTATTTTTATATTGTTCATTTAATGATAATAAATGAGAAATTATAAAAAATGTATCTTAATTTTTTATTTATTAAAAAAAAAACCCAAAATTTCGTAAACCTCCTCGATACGCTTTTTTTTTCTTATTCTGACATTTTTTTTTTTACCAAAATATCTTTAATAGTAGTCGTATTACCGTAACGCCCCCACATATCACGGTACTTAAAGTGTTGTGATGAATTTCAAAAATTATACGGCACTCAAAATACCGTGACGACTTAAAAAGTATATTACCGTACTCAAAAGACCGCGATGGTAGTAGCGGAGGACTCCCACATCTTTCTTCTTGCCCTTTCCTCGCGTTGTTGCCTCTTCCGTTGCTGTGAGTGCACACGCAGAGCCAGGAAGCATATTCCAGGCACAATTTTCAGAATTACACCCACTTGTTGATATGAAGGGAACGAAGGTGACTACAATTTTCAGAATTACACCCTCTTGTTGATATGAAGGGAACGAAGGTGATTACAAATCTTTGAGGGGGCCTTCCTGACGATCATTGTGGTTACAACCCTAAAAACATCGTTAGAGGGGTGGGTGCTGCAGTTGAATGGCAGTAGGAGGGATGATCCCTTCTTCAAAAAACCCCCCATCTTGCAATGCCCTCCCATTGTGTGAACAACAAGCGTTCAAGAAATCCAAAGACCCACCTTGCAATCCACACCCATTGTACGAAGACGAAATATCCAAGGCACCCAGAAACCCATCTTTAACAGATTTCGAAACCTCTGACCTTTTACGTGACCTCGAAGAAGAAGAGGTGATCTCGAACATCAGGCCCACCCCAACTATTCCACCAACCACACCGGAGAAGAAATCTGGCAAAAACAAAAACAGAGTACCAACACACGGATCTTTTGGGTATGGTGATACACCTTCAAGTACTCATTTAAATGATGTATAATTTTTTAAAGTCATTACAGCACATTTAAGTACCTTGATGCATACGGCCTTCACGGTAATACGAGCTATTTTAATAAGAAAAACACTGAAATTGAGAGGAAAAAAAAAATTATAGACGTCATTTACATAAGTATGGGATTTTTTTTTTCAATAAGTCGAAAATTAAAATATATTTCGATAATTCCCTATTAATAAAATTTTAAAAAAGACACAAAATCCCTTTAAAGGCCTAAATCCAAACATCTCATCAAATAGACGGCCTATATTAATTAGGTTAAAAACTAAAATATTTAGTTTACATTTTCAATTTTTTTTTTTCTTATGATTGTTCATCATAATGAAAAGAGTGTATATAAAAAAAAATAGATCACACAAATAGCCCTAAGTTCTTGTAATCATGCATTTTATGGGTATTTTGAAATTAAATCAAACTATAGGTTTAAAATTTTCCGAAAATGTATACAAAAAGACCATATACTTTTAATACAAGGAGATCACATTCAATATGTTTGTCAGATTTCAAATCGAGTAGTTGTATGTCATTTCAAATCGGGTGGTTGCATGCCATTGACTAGACTAAAAATACAAAAAAAATTCTCAAAATTTGTCACAACCCAAGCCATCCAATTTGACATTTCATAGTTACTAACAGCTCATAACGATTGTAACCTCCTTGTAAAAAAGATAAATGATAGACATCCATCTCTAATGGTTATTTTGATAAATTTCCCTATAGCTCTACTTGTTGGTTTAACCCAACCCAAGTTATCTAACATTTTTATGAACTCTCTCATAAAAAAAAATACTATTGCATAAACCATATAGAGAGTGAATCCTTAACCAAACTGACAAATATTCAAATGATAATTACCAAGGTGACCCCCACATTGGTAAGCTCCTACCATTGCTCTCATGTAAATGGCAAGTAAATTTACAACGCGATGCATGCCCACGCACACCCAAAAGCAGGAACACAAACAAAAATAAAGCTGCCACAATTTAGTTCTAAGAAATAATGAAAGACCATTTACAATTACTCTTGGTACAAACAAATCACAATCACTTCAAGCCGTCAAATGTAAAATTGAGCAGTTAAAGGTATATCCTTGACTACCCTCAAAGTCTGAAGTTGTTTTCCCTTTTGCAGTGTTTGTACAATGCGATGGCACAACCAGCAGTCCAATTTTCATTTCACAACTTCAGGTGTTTGTGACCTTTGTGTAGTTATAGTAAAGGTAATGGTGTCATTGTAGACAATCCCTTATATGGGGTTGTTGCAGATGTTTCCAAACATTTCTAGAGCCTCCAAAAAGGAAAAAACCGCACACGAGATACGAATAGATGAACATTCAATATGGTTGGTGGATTGGGTAACTAATGCTTACCATTTCTTAGATAGCATGTGGGGTAAGTCATGGAGTCAGCAAATTACACAAGAACTATAACAAGGACACTACAAAGCAAATGGACAATCCTTAACAAAATACAGACCTCAAATAAAGATCAAACCAAACAGCAAACCAAATCATGTTTCTCAGTGGTCGGTATCATTCCTCGGCAGCACTTGCGGCGCTCAGATCCACGCTTAAGTCGAGCACCTGGTTAGGAACAAAATCAATACAGCAGAAACCACACTCAAATAAATAACGGAAGAAACAGGGAAGGTACACTATAAAGGGAAAATATTTTGTCTGCAGTCGATGCCTTTTCCCTTTTTTGGAGCCTTAAAGTGCATTTGTTTGAGCTGAAATTTGTTCACATTTTCTATTAGATCTTGCATAGAATATCGCAAAAAGAATTCCAAAAAAACATGGAATGATTTTTATTGAGAGAGAAATTGCAACAGTATGGGCTGCCAATTTTAGGAAAGGAAAGATGGAGCGAGATCAAGACAGTTAAGAGAGATTTGTTTAACCACAAATTTTGTAAATTGCTTATCATCATCAATTGGATAATCTCCAAAAAAAAAAATTGAGTTCTTAAAGAGCTAGTTCTAGCCACTCTTGAGTTGGGTTTTTCTATAAATTTTTCCATGGGCTTTCTAGCTGAGTCCAAAAGACTTGTGTACCAAATTTGGGGCAAAACAAATGCCCTTAGGACCCCAAAATAGGGAAAAGTGGATCATTGTAGCAGTCTGCCCTTAGGTAGACAAATTGTTTTCACTGCAATTAAATGGTTTAGTACAAAAATTGTCACAACCGCCCCTGGCCGCCATATATAAAATCATGTCATTAACCCACACTCTAAAGTCCAAGAAAAATTAGTGCCGAGAAATGACACACCAAGCCATCCAATATTACATCTCAAAGCATATGGGTTGTTTATGGCCTTTGTGTACAAAAGGTAATGATCTCATAGTATAGAATCCTTAGGAAAAACTAGAGGTTTCCTAATAGGAAGTTTGATAAAAGAAAAATGCAGAAGAGAGCGAGTAAAGGTTAAGAACGGACTGAGTAAATAGTTGCAAGCAGTAGTTGCCTTATCTATATCACATAAAAGAAATCCTAAAGAAATAAAGTAGAGAAAGCTCAAATGGCAATCACATACCTTTCCAGTTATCATAGTATACATAGAGAGCACGTCTTGCACAGTTGATTCAAAGTGTGTAGTTGCATCATAACTCTGAAATGGTATGGACAGTTTTGTTCACAACTCGTCAGAGAAAGAGAGAGATCAGTTTGTAGGTCATCACACAGAGAGAGAGAGAGGGAGCAAGAGAAATTGTTCAAAAGGGCTGGCAATGGGCCGGGCTGGCTTTGGGCCTAGTCCGGTGGGGTTGGGCTAGATAAAAAGGCAAATAAATCAAGGAAAAATAAAGAAAAAGGGATGGCCAGGCGGGGGGGGGGGCGGGCCGGGCCGAACCAGGCCGGATATGCTGTGGCCCCGCCCTAGCCCTTGTGACATATGTGGCCCAAACCCTAGTTTTTTAGGGCCAAGCCATCCAGGATGGGTCAGGCTGGGCCACCCCGCCCCATTGCCAGCCCTAATTGTTCGCAGGTTATCACATATGCACATATAAGGAAAAGATTCTGTTAAGTCCATAGGCAAATAGCTACAGTATAAGCCAAGCTCCAAAACAAGCAGCTAAAGGGATTTCTTTGCATTGAACTTTTGCACATATCTTTGATTAGAAACATAAAAAATTTCAAAATATTAAATTTGAGTACTTGAAAGCCAGGATCCATAGTCCACCAAATCAATGGCTAGCATATACCAAAAATATCGGATTCATTTTTCCCTTTTTCTGTGTGAATAATTCCTTTTTCTATTTTGATTGTCTGAATGAAATCTAGACATGCAAAAATTAGGGGTCCAACACACCCCTATATGCAGTATAAAACCATCATCCATATGTGTGTGAGAGAAAAAGATGCACAGAGAGAGAGTAGTGGAAGATTCACAGCAGTGCTCTCAATTTCGTTTCGATTCAGCCAAAGAGGCTGAAGCCTCCAGATTTTAGGCCTAGAATGAAGCAAAGAGAAAACTGGCGTTGCCGCTTCGATCAGATTCGGCTGTTTCGGTCTGATGCGGCCGAAGAAAATAAAAATCTATATAAACATATTTTTAAAATTTTATTTTTAATTTTTTCCATTATTTTTATATATTTTGTATATTAAATTTAAAAAAAGTCTGAAGTTTTCCCATGAATCGGCCGAAGCACTGAATTCTTCATTTTTCTCACCAAACCGAAGAAGACTTCAAAGCGAATCTAACAACATGGTTCACAATGATAAAAGGGATGACGGGCATATAGACTTACAGTCGATATGAAGCAATTGTCAAGAGAAGGTTCGTTGACAGGCTCATATCTATCATAAACATCAAAGAATATCTCATCAACTGGTCCCAAAAGATCAATCCCTGGTTTTAGTTCAATTTCAGGTTTGTTAGTCTCCGCATCTGCCGCAACAAATGCAATGAATTTCCCTTTAGGAGCAACCATGTGTGAATAAGAGCAACAAAAGAGATACCTGCAACCATTGAATGGCCAATTAAAATCAGCAAAATTCTCCAAACTACCCCCAAGAAAAATTCAGTAATTTGCAAACCAACCAATTTTTTTAATTTCTTTTTTTTTAATAATCATCTTCAATTTTTTTCTTGTTCCTTTTCCTTAATGTCACCAATTACATTCAGATAAAGAATTTATACCCTTCGCATACAATTGGAATAGCCACCAAGTAGAAAAGCTAGCAATAAAAGACAAGGTTTTAAGAACTGTTAAAAACTTAAATTAACACGTATAATGGCCATTAAAAAAAGACATGAGGAGACAGAGACTGCATCATCTTCCTCCTCCTCATCCTCCCCGACCCCCTCCTCCTGACTGGAACAAGATCTCCAGCCTCTGCCCCAAGCCTTCATCTTGTAACCCCTCCCCCGCCGTAGAACGGGAAAGCAAACTGCCTTCTCCTTCACCTTCCTTCGCTCAGGTGGTGTCCACCCCCATGTATCATTCTCCCCATGCTACCACTGAACCACCCGTAACCGTTCTTTTGCCGTCCTTTGCTTTGCGATTGGGGGCCCCATACCTACCCTTTGTCCTCTCCACCCCGGCTGAGATCTCTGGTCCCCTAAAATCTAAACTTCAAGCCTCGCTCGTGGGTACTTTCTATCCTCGGAGGGACGACATCAAGGGGATAGAGAAATGGGCACAACTAATTTGGGGCGAACCCCAGCTTGGATGCTGCCACATGTCGAAGGGGGGCATCCTCTTCAGTCTTCCCTCTGGCGAGAGTGCTCGTCGTATTCTCGAAGAGAGTCCCCTACAATTTCCGAGGAGCAAGCTTAAAGTTTCGGGAATAGTCGCCGCTGGATGGGTTTTTCAAGAAGCAAAAGGTTTGGGTCATGGTTGCAGACATTCCCCTCCACGCGTGGTCTCCCGTTACGTTCAACAAAGTGGCTGAGGCCTGCGGTTTGCTGGTAGCTATCCACTGGAAATCTCTAGAGTTTCTCCCTCTTGGTTCCATGCGTCTCCTCACTGAGCTTCTAGACACATAGCTCATCCCACCCATCATTTGGCTGAAGGTTGAGGGTCTGTTCTTTCCCCTTTCCATCTCTTGGGCTTTGGCATCTCCGCCCTCCCCCTTCTTCTTCAACCCTCCCACAGATAATCAACCCCAACGGTCCAACCCGTTGGACTAGACTAAGGTCTCTGGGAAACGCCACCACTCCAGGGACACCAACAGCCAGAAACCTCCTCCCTTGCTCCCTCCAAGTGGTCAAGTCAACTATCGACCAGTCAGAAACCGGGGCCCGTTGCCACCTGGACTCCTTGTCAGAGTAAAACTGCCCCTCCTCAAGATTCATTGCTCCGTCGCCATGTATCCAACCAGCCGTCATCGTCTTCTGTAGCCACACCTAGTTTAGCGTGTGTCCTCTGAGTTTCGATGATGCCAATCTCTCATTGGGCCTACCCGGGGAAGGTGCCCCTTTTCCCTCTCACCCCAGCAAAGGAGTTCTCATTGCCGACGAACGACGTGCCCTGCCACAGTTGTCGGTTCAGTCGGTCTTTGCTGGGCCTTCTGCACATGCATCGACTCCATTTAATGTCGGCCACCTACCTCCGTCCAGCCTGCCGCATAAGTGGCTTCCCCACTGTCGGGAGCCTGAGTGCCCTTCGACACTTGTCGTGCCCAGTCGCCTTCCCACATGCACCTCTGCGACCGTTGCAGCCACCTCAGACACATCGCCGCCCTCTCTCATCATCCCAGCTTCACCCGCCCCCTTTCCTCACTAGTGTGAAGTGGAACCGACGGTCCCTCTGAATCCCTTTGGAGACACTTGTCCTCCTCCGAGTCCTCCTTGCCTTGAGATCCCCACCCCCATTGAAGCCCCCTTCCTGCCTTTACCCATCTCTCTCTCTCCCCCACTTGCCTATCTCTGGCCCCTGATTTTTTGACCACCCACCCTTCCGCCTACTCCCTTTCCAACAACCCTTTTGTCTCCCTCCCCACCCTCTCTTCGCCCCTTGGACACTAACCCTCTGCCAGCCTCCTCCTCATTTGACCTGCTCCTATCATCGACTCCAGTGGACCACTTACCTCTGGCACTCCTATTTCCTCGGACCTCCCCCCTTCTCTGCTCCTCCCTCTTCAGGCCGCCCCTCCCGACAGCAAAACCCCCCCTTCTTCACCGTCCTCCACTGTTCCGAACCCTAACCTTATGGATTGGACCTAATACCCCTTTGGGATGGTAGTTGTGCACTCTTTGGACCCCTCACCCCTTGTCCCTGAATGCCTCTCTTCGCTTCTTGCCATGTATTTCCCCTTCACCCCCCCACGTGGTTCCTATTTGTCGCGTTAGGACTTTCCGCCTACCTTTCTACCACCACTTTGGACACCCCCATCTATCCTACTCGGCACAACCTATTTTCGACTCTCCTCAACCCTACCACTACCTCACCTTCCACCCCTCTATCCTTGGGCTGACTCATCCTTATAATACCCACTTCTCCCCCTTCGAGATTCCCTCTGCCACTCCTCACTTTCCCCCTTCTTTCCCGTCTTCTCCTCAACCTCTGGTCTTCTTTTCTTCGCCCACCATCTTGTCTTCTAGCTCCACCTTGGTTGAGCCCACAACCCTTCTCGACCACCTCATCGCCCCCCAAACTCAACCCCTAGTATCCCTGCCTCTGACCTAGACAACTCCGTGGTTTGTCCCTCTGCTCTGAGCCCCTTGACCCTTGAACCTCTTCCCTCTCTACCCCCCAACCTTTAACCGTCCAATCCTTTCGACCTCCCTGAACCACCTCCTTGTGAGGAGCCACAGTTTTCTAACTCTACGCCATCAGAACCGATGGGTGATTCTCAAACGCCAGAACAAGCAAAGGGCTTAGTAAGAGACCAGGTTGATAGAGAGTTAGACAGGATGAGGACATTTTTAGAATCATGGGTTTTCCCCATGATGGACCAGAAGGACTCTTCCACCAATTTCTCATTTCGGATGCCGAGAGCCGCTTGAAGGTGAGCTTCAGAGGTCAAAGAGAGATCCTCAACCTATTTTCCTTTGTTAATTATGATAAACAGTCTTCTCATGGCCCCCCCTCAATGTCCCCCTCTCCTTCTCCCCCTCGGGAATCTATTCCAAGGAGGTCCCCTAGACTAGCCTCCTCCTTTCCCCTCACCAGTGTTGCCATGACAATCCTTACTTGGAATGTCCGCGATTTGGGACAGTCTCTCAAATGGAATGCTGCTTGAGACATGTGTGCTAACACTGCCCCACTATCCTTGCTCTTACTAAAACCAAAAAACCGGCCCCTACTCTTCAATTGATTCGTCAAGTCTAGGGCAGAAAACCTTGCCAGTGGCTGTCCCTACCTGCCGTAGGGCCCTCAGGGGCATATGGGTATCTGGAACCCTTCTGAGCACGATCTTGTCTCTTCCCACGTTGGGGAATTCTCAATTACAGTGCTCCTTTCCAGAATTTCCAATGGCTTTCCTTGGAAATTCTCGACCATCTATGGTCGTAACTCGGTGCAGCTTCGAACCCGTCTTCGATTAAAACTAGATCAACTAGCTACCCTTCCACAACCATCTTGGTGCTTGGGCGGGGACTTCAACATTACCAAATGGTCAATCGAGAGAAACTCCAACTCCAATATTTCCTAGGGAATGTTGGACTTCTCGGATTTCATCTCTCGTAATGAATTAATAGATATTCCTCTCCAAGGGAACATCTTCACGTGGTCTGACCACTCATCTCAACCGACCCTATCTAAATTGGACAGGTTCCTGATATCCTCCTCCGGGGAAGAGATTGTCCCATCCTCCTAGACACTCTAGCGATCCCAAGGGGCCCTAAACCTTTTAGGTTGGAACTTGCATGGCTCAAAGAAGACACCCTGTCTTCGCCTATACCTGCATGGTGGGATTCCTTCTCATCCCAAGTCTCAAGCAGAGCTGGTTATAGGCTGCAAAAAAAATATCCAATTACTTAAAGCCTCTCTTAAAACCTGGAGTAGATCTATCCCAGGGAACTTCTCTCAAATTAAGCAAACCCAATTGAATGTTATCCAAGCTTTCAATCTAACTAAGGAATCTAGGTCGTTATCTTCTTCAAAGGCCAGTCTTAGATCTCAAACGAAGTTGGAGTACTTCTCAACTCTGAAAAAAGAAGAGTTGTACTGGTACCAAAGGTCTAGAGTTACCTGACTCAAATCTGGGGCCCATAATATCGGGTTTTTCCACATAATTGCAAACTGCCGAAGAAGAGATAACTCCATCTCCACCATTAAGGAGGGAAGTACGATTCTGAACCGAGGCCCAAACATCGAATCAGCAATACTCACCTTCTTCCAGATTCTTTACTCTACCCCCTCGGTCCCTAGACCTAGTATGGGCAATCTTCCATTCCAAACGCTTCCCACTGATCGGGTCCATCGGTTGGAATGCCCCGTTTCTGAAGATGAGATTGTAGAAACTATCGAGGACTTGGGCAAAGACAAAGCCCCTGGCCCCGATGGCTTCCCGATTGCCCCTTTTAAGATCTTCTGAGACACCTTCATGACAGACATCCTGCATTTCTTTGAGAAATTCTTCCACCGTGATATCCTCCATGAAGCCATCAATGCCACCTTCTTAGCGCTTGTCCCCAAGATTGAAGGGGCAGAGGAATTGAACGATTTCCGACCAATCAGTTCGGTCAATTCCTCTTATAAGATCCTCTCCAAAGTATTGGCCTCCAGGCTGAAACAAGTTCTTCCCCTCATCATTTCTCCCTCATAGTCCGCCTTCATCAAATCCTTGAAGGAGTGCTGGTGGCACATGAGTGTTTGCACTCTCGACACCTCAGCAAAAAGCCGGGCTTGATTTTTAAGATTGATTCGGAGAAGGCTTACGATCACGTGGACTGGTTAATCCTTGACGAAACCTTGTCAAGGATGGGATTTGGTGAGCGCTAGAGGAAGTGGATGAGGGGTTGCTACTCCAACCCATCCTTCTCAGTACTCATCAACGGGTCCCCGAAAGGTTTCTTCTCGTACTCGAGGGGCCTCTGCCAAGGAGACCCCCTCTCACCTTTTCTCTTCTTTATTGCAACGGAAGTTTTCAGTCAATCCATCTCTTGCTTGTATCAAGCTGGTATCCTCTCTAGCTTCAAAACCAGTATGCATGGCCCGTGCATGTCCCACTTGCAGCACGCAGATGACACATTAGTCTTCCTAGATGTAGTTCCTGAGGATATTGATAACCTTAGGTTGTTTTCTATTTGCTTTGAGTATGCCACGGGGCTTCAAAGTTTACATGGAAAAGTCCAAAATGATAAGGGTAGGCCTATCCAATCTTCAAACCATGAACCTTATCCCCTGCTAGGAATGTACAGTAGAGGATCTCCCCACGTCATATCTGGGCTTGCCCCTGGGTCTAGGGAAGCCAAAGAAGAGGCAGTGGTCAGGAAATTGGTAGGATGGAAAGGTAGATACCTATCCTTCACAGGGAGAACTACACTCATCAAAGCTACCCTGGGCAACTCTCCAGTCTACCTCATGTCCTTATTCCACATGCCAGCCTCAGTAGCTAAACGTCTCGACCAACTGATGAGGAACTTCCTCTGGTCTGGTGGAGGTTGGCCACCCAAAACAGCTCGCCATGGGCCCAAATACTTCGCTACAAATACAGAATTTCGCCTGATCTTTGGTTGCCTGAGGGCAAACCTGCGAACAGGGACTCTGGTGCCTGGAAATCATTCTTGACCTCCCTTAATCCGTTCAAGCAATTTATTCGCTTTCATGTGCGAGGAGGAGCTAGGGTGCATTTCTGGTCCGACCTTTGGTTAGGCCACACCCCACTAAGAGATCTCTTCCCTTCTCTTTACTCTCTGGCAGTTAACAAATCCTCCTTAATCTTTGAGGAAATGATTATCTTCGAAAATCGTAAGGTCTGGAACCCCTCCTTTAGGCGTTCGCTCTCTGAGAAAGAAACTTTAGACTTCATTTCTCTTTCAGCCTCCCTCCACTCTACTTTCCTTGCCCTTTCGAGGACTAACACCCTAGTCTGGACCCCTTCCCCCACAGGCTCTTTTTTGGTGGCTTCTTTCTACAAGAGACTCTTGTTCTATCCAAAGTTTGGTCCACCGTCGCACCACCTAAAGTGCAAGCTTTTAACTGCATTGCCCGCTCTGAACGTGCTCTTACCGTAGACCACCTCCAAAGGAGAGGGATTCAAATCCCCAATAGGTGTGTTATGTGCCTTTGCGAGGAAGAAACGAATTCTCATTTGTTTATCCATTGCCACCTAGCCCTTGAACTTTGGAGCCTTACTATCCAACTTTTTGGAGTTTCTTGAGTTACCCCACGCTCACTATTCCTTCGATTCTCACTGAGTGAAGTCAGGCAGAATCCTATGGAAAGCTTCCTTAGCGGCAACGTTATGAGTCCTTTGGCTCAAAAGAAATTCCAAGATTTTCCGTCCCAGCTCTATTCCATAAGATTACTTCGCTGGTAATCTTTTGAGCTTCCAACCATAGGGCTTTCGCTGGAATCTCGGCTACTACATTCCTTCACGACTGGGAGAATCTCATACACCTTGTACCCCCTCAGGTATCAAGAGCCAACAATTGGTCGCCTCCCCCGGTTGGTATCATCAAGCTCAATTTCGATGGATGCTCCCTGGGTAACCCAGGCCCAGCTAGAGCCGATGGGGTTTTTTGCAACCATAATGGCAATATTTTGGCCCCTTACTCAGATCACCTAGGTCATGTAGATTCTCAGTTTGCAGAGGCTACGGCCCTTTCGTTGGGCATTAAGAAGTTCGACCTAACCTGGGGTTCGCAGTTGTATGTCAAGGGGGACGCCAAAAACATTATTTCTTGGGCCTCTGGAAAGGCGACTCTTCTGTGGTACCTTGCCCATATTTTTTGACGAAATTGAGCATATTTGCAAGATTATAGACGTCTACTAGACGCTTATCTGGAGGACGTCGAACGACTTCGCAGATCTTCTGGCTAAGGATGCCGCTCAGGCCCAAGCTGAAGCCACCGTATAGATGCGACTTTTTGTTGAGCTACTTAGACTGTGGTTTGGTCGTTGGTCCATCTCCTTTTTTGCTCTGGACCTCTACAGTCGCTGTCTTTATTTCTTTTGCACAGTTTATCTCTTGTAATGGGCGTGTCCTATAAGCCCTCCTTTTTGCACAGTTTATCTCTTCTATTTGGGGGTATCTTATTAGCCTTCATGTTTTGTACAGGTCCACTGCTAGGTGGCCATTTTTTGGTTGAGAGACCCGGTCGGTGGGTACTCTCAACTCTTACTGATGTACACTTCTTTTTTAATACAAACTGTTAACCTCCTCAAAAAAAAAAACATAAAGGCCATAGGTCATTACAGCAATACCGGCCAATATTTTGACAAATAGATGTTATGCCCATTTTAACCATTATCGTAATAGAATGCTCCTTAGACATTATAAGATATCATATTGATTTAAAAATCTCTCTCTCTCTCT